CGACGTGACGCTTTAAGGACTTTACTGGACCGTTATGTCAGTTTGGAGATGGATCGTCACGTCGATTCAGGGTACCATGAATGTCCGTTATGTGTCATTATGACGTACGTTTCCTAGGTACCGTATCATTTCCTGTGCCCGTTCAGCTTTTTGTACTTAGATGAATAATTAATGATCATATGTCTTCTTCGAATAAAAATAATAGTGGAATTAGAACGAGATAATAAATGATACAAATATTTTGAATCAAATATATTTAGCTAAAGTAACTAATGAAAATCAATTATTATACGTCTTAATACTTCTTTTTAAATCCGTAAATTATAAAATCGATTTCATCAATATTTATCAGCCAAGTCAAAGGGATCAATTGATGTCACAATCCTCTATCTATTTAATTACCTAACAACAACAACGATCCAGTATAATTCCACAAGTGGGGTCTGGGGAGGGTAATATCTACGCAGACCTTACCCCTACCCCGAAGGATAGAGAGACTGTTTCTAGGAGACCCTTGGCTCAAAAAAGCAATAGGAGATGATATATTAGTACCATAAAAATGCGTAATAAAAATAACAACAATAACAACAACAATATATAAGAGATATGAAATATGAAATACAGGATACAAAATACGAAATAAGAAATAGATGGATATTTAATTACCTAACGTGATAGATAAAAATTAATTAGTATCCGTTGTAACACTTAGTTTTATCCAAATCCTTGATTTACTTATAATATCAATTTCGTTAATATTTTATCAACTAATTTTTGATCAGTCAAGTCAAAAAAACATTTTGTCACAAATATTTTTGGAAATAAAAAACATGTCCCAAACACAAATCTATGCTAAAAATGGAAAAAAAATTCCTTTTCACTTTTTGATTGATGGAAACTTTTGAAATCTCTATATTAACTATATATGTGAAAAAGAAGATCCCAATATCTTAAATCAAAGAAGTTAGTTTCTCAATGAACTCCAATCATCGGCTATGATTATCCCACGTAGCAATAATTAACGGTCTAGATCAAAGACCCCACCAATTTGAATTCAAATTTGGTAACGTTACATTACCGGAACCTTAGGTTCGGATCCAAACCTAAACATACGTAAATTATATTATAAATTTTTACTAACTTTAATCTTCCACATTTCTCTTAGCTCCAAAAAAAGCAATAATTCTAACTTTAATTTCCAAAAAAATTCACTCTCATTTCTACTTAAATTGTGATAATTCGTGGGGTACCTTTGTTTTTTTTACATTCAGAGAGAGAGAGAGAGAGAGAGAGAGAGATTCTTGAAAAAGTAAGTATATTATTCAGTTATAGTAGAAATGTTGTAGCTACTGTATACTCTGAATTTTTGTTTAGTAATTTTTCTTTTATAATTTTTTTGGAATTATATCCATTTGGGTCTGAAGGTTTTTAGAAGTCATACTACTCATTAGGTAAATTTTTCTTGAATTTTTGTAAAGCTCAAAAATCTGAAGGGTTCCTATATTTTAATCTTCTTTGTTATGTATAATCTTAATTTTCTTGATTTTTTATGTAATTGTTTGTAGACAGATTCTTGTGATTATGTTCATTTGGACTAAAGGGTTTTAGAATTGATATATTTTTATGGGTAAAATGATTTCCTTCAAATGTGTCAAAAAATGTTTTACATTTAAGGCGTTTGAATGATACGTTCAAAAAATGTGTTTAACCATTTTTTTTTTNTTTCTTGAATTTTTGTAAAGCTCAAAAATCTGAAGGGTTCCTATATTTTAATCTTCTTTGTTATGTATAATCTTAATTTTCTTGATTTTTTTATGTAATTGTTTGTAGACAGATTCTTGTGATTATGTTCATTTGGGACTAAAGGGTTTTAGGATTGATATATTTTTATGGGTAAAATGATTTCCTTGAAATGTGTCAAAAAATGTTTTACATTTAAGGGGTTTGAATGATACGTTCAAAAAATGTGTTTAACCTTTTTTTTGTTTTTGGTTTTTTCTGGATGATAGAGTTAAAAGGTTAGATCTTTAATGGAGGATTCAAGAAGAGGAAGGGGACATGAATACAACTTGGCTTGGAGGAAAGCTGAAGAAGCAGGTTTCATTTATTCACTATCCATATAAAGAACTTCTAGCACTTTTAATTTTATTATTATTATATTATTATTATTATTATTATTGTTATTGTTATTGTTATTATTATTATTATTATTATTATTATTATTATTATTATTATTATTATTATTGTTGTTGTTGTTGTTGTTATTATTTTGTATAATATTGGCATGGGATGAGCTTATATGTAGTAACATGGTTAGTGAAGATTCATATAGCTAGAGGCGAAGCTACACTCTTGTAAGAGTGGTCAATTGACCACCCTTCGTCGAAAATTATACTATATATATAGGTAAATATTGATCAATCTTTTTTTTACTTCTTCTAAGTTTGAACACCCTTGGAGAAATTTCTGACTTCACCACTGCATATAGCCGACCCTGACTTGTTTGGGATAGAGGCATAGTAGTAGTTGTTGTTGTTGTATTATATTAACTATCCATAGTGCTCATTGTTTGATTGAGGTAGTACTATGACTCAAGAAAAATGGATTATAAGTACTGTAAAGAGGTTTAATTTTGTGTATTATTTTCCCTTCTGGGGTAAATGAAGTTCATGTGGGGTTTTCGTTGTATATATGTAGCTTTGAGGCGATATCAAGCGACCCACTGGTTAGAATGTTTCGTTGGACCATTAGGTATATCAAGCCAGCCTTCTGAGAGAGAGTTTGTTTCTTGCTTGAGAAATGGTTTGGTTCTTTGCAATTTAATTAACAAAGTTCGACCAGGATCAGTTCCAAAGGTACATTACTATCTAGTATGCGAAAAAAGCAGCTCATTATGCAACATTTGTTATTCGTTCGTTGTTGTTTTTTATGCTGTGCTACTTGTTTTTAGGTTGTAGAAAACCACATGCCTTCGCATTCAATCATGTGGGATTCTCAGCCATTACCAGCTTATCAATATTTTGAGAACATTAGGAACTTTTTGGTAGCTGTGGAAGATTTAAAGCTACCAGCATTTGAGGCATCGGTATTCGAAAGGGTAAAATTATAGCTAATTTCGTCTTCTTTTTAAGCTTTATAATGAAATGGAGGCCGGAAAGAGATACCAATTTCTCAATTCATTCTGTGCATTCTTAGGATAATATAGAGGCAGGTTCATTGACAAAGGTTGTGGATTGCATTTTGGAACTTAAAGCATATCATGAGTGGAAGCAAATGACCGGAGGCGTCGGATGTTATAAACCTCTAAGGTCTCCTCTCTTGACCCCTTCGAGGGGAAGGATTCAAGCACGACAACCTATGACGATTAATTCTGATAGTTGCAGGCGATTGGAAATGTCTGCTGCCTGTCCAAAACAATCAGCAGCAGAGGATGAAATTCAGAAAATCGAAGGTCTTTAACTTCTTTGCATTCTTTTATGTCTGCATGCAAAGAAAAAAAACATTTTCATGTTAAAGAATATCACTGCATATTTAACTATTGCAACAGCGTTGCAACTTCTGTTGAGTTTCTGCCAAATTTACTATTCTTGAGAGAGGATTTTGAGTTAGAAGTGCAATTAACTTTTTGAGCTATTAGTCTTGAAATACTTTATAAGACATATTAACCACACTTTTATAAGACTGATGAACAAACTTATTTTTTATTCTTATTTTGCAGTTAGTTTCCACTTTCTTTTAACATAGAAAATTCATGTTTATTCTGGTTTATTTAACTGGTTTTAGGCATAATTGTCAAGGCTCTAGCTGAAAGAATGGTGGACATGAAGGAAAACATGGGCAATAACTTCTTTGCTTCTTTTCGCAATGGGAATGTGGTATGCGTCATCCTAACTATTTGCTGCTTTTCTTAGAGTCAATGATCACTGATATATTTGATGATTTTCTTTCTCCAAAACAGAACCAAGTTGACTTGTTCAGCAGGATCTTGTCTAGTTGCTTTGAGGAACAACCTCGAAACAAGTTGCCGAAGGTAATTGGGCTTTGCTCGACATGAGTATTTACCTTGTTTTTGTTACATCTCCTCCAAAAAAACTTTTATCCTACATCATCTCTATTTTCCACATGCAGCTAATGGGAATATGTACCTATTGGACTAGTAAGATGAAAAATGACATATTTTCGTACATAGGTTCTTTTTTTTTTTTTGAAACATATCTTGAGCTACCCTCCCCAGACCCCACGGTATGTGATAGTACTGGGTATGTTATTGTTGTTGTTGTTGTATCTTAAGCAGTGGCGAAGCCAGGAATTTATTCAAGGGTGTTCAAACTTGAAAGAAATTAAAAATATTCTCCCAGAAAGAGTGTTCAATATATGTTATATACCTCTAAAATTTAATATTTTATCTATATGCGCAGTGTAATTTTCCGACGAAGGGTGGTCAGTTGACCACCCTTTATAACATGTAGCTTCGCCTATGATCTTGAGCTAGACTTCATATTGCATAACATTTCTTCCCAGAATATGCTTGGCACTTTCACTAAGTCTATTGTTCTTTAGAGATAAAGAGAAAGAAAAAGAGGTTGTTTATTTGACTATTGCGTTCAACCATATGTTAACAACTCATGTATTAGCTTGAAACAGTTCCCTCCTATTTTCCATGAGAATCTCTCGTGCTACACAATTGGCTCGGCAGAATCTGTAACTTCATATTTTGAAAGTAAACCTTTAAGAAAAGGCTGGACTATAGTGAGCTTACCTACAAAAGATGCATGAAACATAAGTAGAATATTACTTGGAATAATTCTTAATTGTTATTGTTGCATTGCATGACCTCTCTACCTCAAGGTAGGGGTAAGGTCTGCATACACACTACCCTCTCCTGACCCCACTTGTGGGATTATACTGGATTTGTTGTTGTTGTTGTTGTTGGTGGTGTATTGTTGCACTGCTAAATTGATCAGTAAACTAATGTCAAATCTGGATATCATTTTCCTTCTGGCTTGTCATTTTTTATACACTATCTATTTAAGTGATCTTGAGATAATATAGCTTATATTCCTCCACTTGCAGTTGAAATCGGATCCTTTAAAAGAGATGAGCTGCTCAGAAGACAACTCCACATGCATACCTCTCCAAAATTTATCTAATCTTAGAAACCGCGAGGTAAGCTTAGTTCAGTTTTAAGCATTTTCCCCCATTTGTGAACCTGAAGCATTCAATTTGTCGATCTTGCAATTATCAGAGTACTTGTTAAGAATCTGAGTCTTTTATTTTTGAGTATGATGAGAAGAAATGTCAATCAAGTCATGGCCTATAGGAAAGAATTTTTGTCTACCTTGCTATTATCAAACTACATGCATGTTTAACTTTTTTACACAAGAATCAAAAAAATTTACTATTGTAGCATCTGGAAACTGTTTGAGAGAACAAAAGTCAATCTGAATTTAGTGTCAGTATCTACAGTTCCAATCTAGTTAGAATCTGTAATTTCCATTTAGTGTTAAGGTCAAATGATGAAATAAACAGGACCTTGCACATAGAATTTAAATATGTCAATGTCTATGCACATGGTTTAGATAGCGTCGTAGTTCACCTTCTGGTCTTCAGTGTTGCAGAGCTTGCATAAAGAAGGGCACTTGCAACCACTGGACTCTAGTTACAATGCAAGAAAAGGAACTTTCGGTAAGTCATTTTTGAACTAAATAAAAGTTACTGTACTAACTATTTGCTTCAGTTTAAGGCTCCTATAGTAATTTCTCCTAGTAAGAATGTTAAAAAGAATGTTTCACTTGGTTTCGTCCTTGAGTATCAATGGCCACACATGTTTCCCTCTGATCAGCATTGAAAAGAGTCGATCTCTTAAGATACTGAAGTAACATATATGATTTTACACCTCTTCCCACGAGTTTCAGAAAAATATGTCAGATATCGTGGTCCTTATGAATATCTGATTTCTAAATACATAAAATGGCTGTGGATGGTGTAAGAGACGAACAAAGTCAAGCATGAATTGTGAAGGCCTTTAGGTACTTCATGATCTCCAAAAACTAATGTCAGTCGGTAATCAATGGGACTCCCCTCATCTCCAAAATCTAACTTCAGTTGGGAAACAATGTGACTCCCCCTCAAACACTTTTTATGCTAGCATAGGTAGCTAGATGACCTAAACAGAACAATGTCTCGTGCAGTAGAGTCAAATAAATGTTGATGATGGTGAACCATAAAGTGTTTTAATCTGTCGAAGACTGTGATGTGAGAGTACTTAATAGTACCTTGGTTGTCAAAGAACTTATCCAATATTAGTGAAGTAAGTGAATTAGGTGTTCAGATATTTCATTTCTATTCTTGTTTAGCTTAAGCATGAGTGGTCTGCAAGCAAGTTAGCTGTGATGCTTTGATTTGCACAAGATTCTTTCCGGTTCAACACTTGGCTTATTTGCTAAATACCTTCTTGTTTGCTCATGAATAACTAATATTTTAAGCTGGCAGAATCTTAAGGTCCTGTTATCAAGCACGAAAAGAGAATTTGAAGATCTGCAGTCTCAGCTACAAAGTGATCTGAAGCAACTTGGTAAGGTCACATTTCACATATCTATATCAACAATTGTTCCTATAATTTTAAAGCTAAATTGAGGTTTGATTTAACATGGTTTCAGGTGATCAAGTACTCGAGATGTCTAATGCTGCTCTTGGATATCACAAGGTTCTGAAAGAAAACAGAACTTTGCATAACATGGTTCAGGACCTAAAAGGTATTTCAACAATGATATCATCGATAAATGTACTAATGGCTTAATAACTTTTTATCCCTCTTTTTATGATGGGAGAAAAGTCTGTCAAAGAATATAAAGTGAAAGTGAAAGTCTGAATTGTTATTCCTGTAAGTACCTGTTAGAGTCAAGTTTTATTATACAAAAGCTCTCTAATCTTGCTGTATTAATCTATTCTTTAGGGAATATTCGAGTTTACTGCAGAATAAGGCCTGCCTTCAGTGCAGAAGCGAAAACTGCCGTAGATTTTATTGGAGAAGATGGTTCTTTGGTTGTAATTGACCCACTAAAATCCTGGAAAGATGGGAGGAAAATTTTCCAGTTCAACCGTGTTTTCGGTCCAACTGCCACTCAGGGTAATGGATATTACTACAGTAGTACAGTTGAAGATACATCTTCCATTTTCTTTTTCTAATATTTTTTTTCATGTAACACTGCTTAATTTTACAGAGGATGTATTTCGAGACACAAAACCGCTTGTAAGATCTGTGATGGATGGTTATAATGTGTGCATATTTGCTTATGGTCAAACTGGATCAGGGAAAACATATACTATGGTGAGAGCCTTTAGATAAATAAATTCCATGTATTCCTGTGAATTGCAATGCTGTTAGCTACTTTTATCATCTCTATCGTTGAACCTGCACTAGATGCATATTTGATACTTCTCTCTTTGCAGTCTGGCCCTGGAGGTGGATCATCAAATGAATTCGGAATCAACCAATTGGCTCTGAATGATCTATTCCTACTGTCTGATGAAAGGAAGGACATCATGAATTATAAGATCCACGTTCAAATGGTCGAGATATACAATGAGCAAATTCATGATCTTCTTGCAAAGGATGCTTCACTTACCAAATATCCTTTCATTGATTATTCCCTATTTCATCAGTTAAATTTGAGATGAATCAAAGCGGGGAAGTTAAATAAATGCGTCCTTAACTGTTCATACTTTAGAGATTAGAATCTGCATGAGTGGCAATGGTTTGCCTCTGCCTGATGCTAGCATGCATCCAGTGAATTGTGCTGCAGATGTTATAAACCTGATGAAACTTGGTGACTTGAACCGTGCTGTTGGCTGTACTGCCATGAACAACCGCAGTAGCCGTTCACACAGGTGAGGCTAACTAAAGAGCATTCAAGTTATTTCTATTCCCTTGCCATTGAGACAGTCTAAAAATATGTTAAGTTTAATATATGTTCACATGAAATTCTTGCAGTGTGCTGACTGTACATGTGCATGGTGAAGATACATCTGGAAACATAATACACAGTTGCCTCCATTTGGTTGATCTTGCTGGCAGTGAACGAGTTGACAAGTCAGAAGTTACTGGAGACGGCCTCAAAGAGGCACAACATATAAATAAATCTCTCTCTTGCTTGGGTGATGTGATCACAGCATTGGCACAGAAGAATTCTCACATCCCTTATAGAAACAGCAAACTCACATTACTCTTGCAGAACTCTTTAGGTTTGTACAATAGATTATTCAATTAGCTCAAGATTTCGCGCTCCAGATATAGCAACTCACATCACTGATATAGACAAGATTTAGTCAATTATGAATTTAGGCTTTGAAACATCATGTAGGAATGTTATTGAGTTCTGCAATTACGACCATTTATAGATTTACTAATGCTTTTTATGGTGTCTTTCAGGTGGACAAGCAAAAACGTTGATGTTTGCTCATGTTAGTCCTGAAGGGGATTCCTTTGGAGAAACAGTCAGTACTCTGAAGTTTGCACAGAGGGTTTCGAGTGTAGAACTTGGTGCAGCTCGTTTAAATAAAGAGAGCACCGAAGTTTTAGAACTCAAAGCTGAGGTAAAACACGTTCATTTTCATGATATTATATGGTTATAAGCATACAGTGGCTTAAAAGATGGGTTATAAGACAAAATAAACAAAAATTTCTTGGGCTTAGAGTGTTGGATTATCATTCATTACCTGTCAACTGCTCCAATTACTGTAGATTGAGACCCTCAAAAAGGCGTTGGCTAACAAGGAAACACAAACTCCGCAAATTAACAAACCAAAGGAAGCAGCAAGAACACCTTTCCAGAAGCCTAAAGCAATAGCTGAGAGACCCACTCCACGAGCTCGAAGATTAAGCATAGAGAATTGCACCACCATGAGGGTAGAAAAGGCCAACGCTGATGATGAAACGGGATCCAAAACCCCAGCTGTGAAAACTCGTTCGAGAAGATTAAGTTTAGAAAGGCCAAGATTAGCCAGTAAGAACCTTGAACAGATCAAATCATTAGAAACCACAAGCAAGCGAGATGATAAGCCAGAAGTTGTGTGCTTACAGAAATCTAGCGAGCTTCAAGAGGGAGATGATATCACAAAATTTTATGATCAAGTCGGTAGCATGGAGGCTCCTCACAGTCCAACTTCTGCTTTTAAACGCCAGCAGCCTCCTCGAAGCCCAACTGCTGGTTTTAAAATTCAGCAGGCTCCTCCGAGTCCAACTTCTGCCTATAAAAGACAGCAGCCTCCTCGAAGTCCAATTTCTGGTTTCAAAAGTCAGCAGGCTCCTCGGAGTCCAACTTCTGCTTTTAAAAGCCAGCAGCCTCCTCGAAGTCCAACTTCTGGTTTCAAAAGTAAGCAGGCTCCTAGAAGTCCAACTTCTGCCTATAAAATCCAGCAGCCTCCTCGGAGTCCAACTTCTGTTTTTAAGAGCTGCAATGCACCTAGGAGTCCAACAAGTGCTGCCATTAAAAACCAGGGGGTGAAAACAACAGATAACAGGACAAGGATTCCTTCTCTTCAACTACCCAAAACACCCGAGCCACTGATAACCTCTATAGATGAGATCAAGGGAGGAATTCGAAGTGAGCTTACAATTTCATCCGAATTCCAGACACCTACTTTGATTAGCAGCACTCATGGAAAGGGATCTCAAATACGAAGATCACTTCGCACTATTGGGAAACTGATAAATGGCTCCGACAGAAAGTAAGTGATCCATTCCCTGATCGCATTTTAGTTGTTTTTATGCATTTAATCAATTCGTATGAGCATAGGAAGCTGTAGCTTTCAGGAAGTTCAACAGTGTGATTTTTGTTGCCTGAGAATTGTGTTTATTGACTTGTGAAAACTTACAGGAACCAACAGAAAAGGACTGAAGCAGCACCACTATCACCTTTCAATTGCCAAAATGAGGTGAAGTCACCAATCGCTTCTAATGCACGGACACTAAGAAGACAATCCCTAACTGGCATTCCACCACCAACCATGTCGAGGAGATCTTCACTTGGAGGAGGGACCTTGCCTGATTCTTGTAAGTAAAATGAACACTATATCTCAGTTAACAAACTATAATGACCAAATGTAGTATTTACAGAACCGTTGTTCATTTTATAGGTGCAAACGAAAGCAGAAATTCCAAGACTCCTCCATCACACGCTTCAGCCAAGTCGAGGTGGCTATAAGGAACACTAAGTAGTTAACATCAAGGAGTTAGCTGTAGGGATCAAAAAGTAGGTTTTTGGCTTTGGTACACTGAATACTGAATGCTTGACTTCGAGCTAGGACAAACATTGATGACACGGTTATGCTGCAGATACTCGCTGCAAGTTTAGATGTAGTAAGGCTGTTAACATTGACATTTCTGTACAGACTACTGAGGCAGAAATTAGGAA